ACTGGGTCCCTTAAAGGCTACTACCTCTCTCCTTTCTCACTGGTAAATTTACTGATAAGAGATACTATTTTTGCTTGTTTCTCATCTTTATCTCAGATTCTTTCCTTAAGCTACTATTATCTGATTTCTACTCCACTGCCCTCCTGAAACTGCTCCTCACCTAGGACCCCAGTGATCTCTAACTTGTTAAATCCAAAGCCTTCTTTTCAGTATTTGCCCCACCCTGAGCTCTCTTTAGCATCTGACATTGCTGACCACTCCCCACTCCAATTCCCTTTCTTATTTTACCTTTGAAGCCCTTTGTGTCTCAGGGTTTTAACTCCAACACTTCTAATCATGCTTTCTCTTTGGCTAGCTCCTCTTTCTTCACTTGTCTGCTATTCCTGAGAATCACGTGAAGATACCTATCAAAACCTTAAGAGGTGCACACTGATTCAGAGATGTAGCAAACTGTAATGTAAGGAGAAGATTATGTGGATCCTGATTGGAACAAACTTCAAAAATATTAGACAATAACCAGAAAGTCCTATTGTATAGCACAGGGAACTATATTCAATATCTTATAATAACCTATAATGAAAAAGAATACATATAAATGTATAATTGAATCACTATGCTGTACACCAGAAACTAACACAACATTGTAAATCAACTATACTTCAATTATATATATATATATATATATATTAGACAATAGGAGACATCTGAATACAAACTGAATATGTGACAATGTTAAGAAATTACTATTTATATTTTTAGGCATGTAAATAGGAATTTAGTTTTTAAGAGAGCTTATTTTTTTGACATACATACTGAAATATTTGCAGGTGAAGTATCTGGGATTTGTCTCAAAATAATCAGAGGTAGAGTAGAAGAGGGTATAGATGACATGAAGTTAACGTTAATTAATGATTGTTGGTGCTGTGCCATGGGTGCATTGGGGTTCATTATCCCATTCTCCCTACTTTTCTTTGAAATCTTCCAATATAAAAAGTTTAAAATGTTTATATATTTTTTTAATGTTAAATAATGCTAGAAAAAAAAACTGGCAACAAAATCAGGCCTACAGTGACTTCAGATATTGGAGTTATCAGTCACAGGATGTAAAATAAATATAACCAGTATGTTGAATGTTGGTTCAATGGTAACCCTTAACATTGGTGCATTGGTGGTTTCTGGGGATAGAACTTGGCAAAAACTTCACCTCCTAGTTTGTACATTTATGTACTTGTTTTTCAGTAATTGTGTGCAACTTTGTAATGAGAAAAACAGATATGTAAATGCAGAATGTAGTAAGTTAAAAACATATGTGTGTGTACACACACAGAGAGGAAGATTTGGAACTATACAATAAATGTTACATGTTAACAGCTATACTCATTCTGTGTGGGATTGTAAAGCTTTTTTAATTTGTTTTTGCTTAATGGTATTTTCTGATTTTTAAAATAATATGATTTAAAAAACTTACTTCATAATTTTTAAAGTAGGTATTCTCTAGGCCACAGTCATTTCACTTCCCACTGTAATTTAGCACCAGGTACTCTCATGAATGCCAAACCCCTGCTTACTGAATTCTTGACCTGGAGGTTTCACAGGCAGGGACAGTCTGCCCTCCCTATCCTCGGTTGCGGAACCCACAGATACAGAGGGCTGACTGTACTGTGTCATTTCATAGAAGGGACTTGAGCATCTGTGGATTTTGGTATCTGTGGGGTGGTCCTGGAACCACCCCTTTCAGATACTGAGGGATGACTATACCTCAAACTCTGCACATTTGAAAAAGTAAACTTGTTACCTTTACCCCTTCCATAAACATACGGGCTCTTCCACATTTATCTCAATGGACAATATCACCACCCACTCAGTGACCCAGACATTCTTGCCTCCTCTCTCTGTCTCACAGCTCGTCTTACTAGCTATTCCCTCTGTACACAAGACTGGATTTATCTCCAAGTTGCCTCTGGAATGACTCTTTGACTCTGTTCTTCTACAAGTCTCCATCTCCCCTTCGGACTGCTGCATAATTGTCTCGTCTCCCTAGTTCTAATCTCACCCGTCCATGCTCCCATGCTGTAGAGCACAGATACAACCCCATCATGTATGCCTGTAAAGGTTTGTGATGTGATACTGAACAGAACTGGGTATGAGAGCAGTAACTGAAAAGGCCTTCACCTCTGCAGCTCCCATCCTGACCACTGTCGCCTCTCCACCTTCTCTGCCTCTGCCCTGTCTCATTGCCATGAATTGGGATGACATAAGTGTCTGCAGCACTATTTCTGAAAAAAGAGCATGTTCCAGGTCATAAGTTCTCTCTGACTTCAAACCTACATTTTAATGTGTGTTGGGACATGCTTTGACTTTAAAAGGGAATCAGTACCTACCTTTCCAACAAATCCGAACGCTAACTCTGGCCTAAAACCTACAGAAGTCTGCTTTCCTCTTCCTCAGCATCGTCCTTACTAGCTGGACTCCCAAGGTAATCCTGATACTCACCCTCGCCACACTGAGTTGCTCAAACACAAAGCAGCTCCACCATGAAAGGGTGGCCCCTCATCTATTCTTCATGGTACTCCTTTCCTCATCTTTCCTAACTACCCCCAATTTGTGTACTTTACACAGTCTGGAGTTTGGGCTCATTTGTTTTTGTTTTACTTTTTAAATTGAGGTATAGCTTATATGCAGTAAAGTGTATAAATCTTAAGTGGACAGCTTGATGAATTTTTTACTACGTATATATCCAGGTAACCACCACCCAGATCAATATATAGTCCATTTCCAACACCTCAGAAGGTTCTCTTATAACTTCCCCCATCCCTGCCAATTGATAGTCCCCCAAATGTAACCACTACTCTGAACTCTATCATCACAGTTCCTTTATGTCTATTATTTTAAACTGTCTTATAAATTGAATCACACAATACTGACATTTTTGCATCTGGTCTTTTTTTGTTTAACATTATGTCATATAATCTACCTTTTAAATTATATCATCCCATGCATATTCTACAAAATTAGTGGAAATCAATTGAACCAATTTAAAGAATAATTTGGTAACAAACCCAAAGAAACTCTGATTTATGAATATGAATGTTTTTGAAAAAGAAAGTCAGTGTGAAACTGATATTTGTGAATTTGTTGGTAGGCTCATACAGGAAATAGTGCCACTTGGGTAGGTGGTTATTAGATCAGTGATGAAAATTAGCTTGAAAAATATTACAAATGAACTACATTTACAAAGAAGATCAGTAAGCAAAAAGTATGGTCCAATTTTCATCATAAAAAGAGAGGACTGAAATGGACTTTAAATATATGAAGACTGAGGAAAGGAAATGTTGGCACTAGAAATTCATACCTACATTTTCTTGTGCTTTAACATGTATTTTGACTCCTGTGATTATCTTGCTGTCTAACCCCAAAGCTATCTTGCTGTCTTTCTCACTATCTCACACTTACTGAATGTGATGTTTTAGGAGCTACTTGACAGAATCTTCTGTGACCTACCTGAGAACAAAAATTGCAACCACTACTTTGGACATGACAGATTACTCAAACACTGAAATATATATTCTATGAAATATAAGCTTTCAATTTTGATTCTAATGTAATGGCTTAGCCTTTATTTATGTTTAGTTGACAGTAAATATTTCATTATATTTATAATGTAACCATAAGTTACGTCTGCATAGCCAATTCCCTTCCTGAGCTCCAATCCCATTTGTCCAGCAGCCTGAGATGTGTCCATGTGAGCACACCATAGCAACCTCAAACACAACACCAGTTTTGCCTTTTATTCTGTATGTGGGTAAAAGGCAATTCCAGCCACCCAATCACCCAAGCCAGACATCAGGGAATCAATTCAAGCACCCACTTCTCAATCTCCCTTCACATCCAGGCACTATATCTATCAATTCTATCCGAACAGACTGTCAGTTTCATCACCAAAGTGTTTCTTAGTCCTGCATCCTTCTCTCTAGTCCTCCCACATGGACTTAGTTCTGACTCTCACTGTTTCTTACCCAGATAACTATCTTTAATCCTCCTGCAATTAGCCTTCTACTTGGCCCAGTGCTTGAATCTAGTTGGTTGTTCAATAAACATTTGGTACATGCCTATTCTGTGAAGTTCTGTGGGTGGCTCTAAGATATGAAGGTGACTAAAACAGTTCCTGCCATTGAGGGCTTACAGTCTAGCAGAGGAAGACAGTGTATACAGCGGAAAAGATACTGGCATCAGATAAATCTTGGTTCAAAATGTCCTTCTGCTACTTACTGGCTGAATGACTTTGATTCAATTACTTAAGCTCCCTGAGCCTTGTTTCTTCATCTATGAAATGGAGATATTAACCCTCACTTCCCATGGCTGTTTTAAGAATCAGAAAAATATATGAGTGTCTGAGACATAATAGGTGCATAGCTGGTTAATGGTCAGTATTCTTAGGTTAGTGATACACTCTTTAATAGAGTCATTATTCTCCCAATAGAGAATTAAAATTAGTTTTTCTATCTAATAAATTTACCTTGTAAAAATTACTGTCTGTGGCAGCAGATGTAATATGGTCCCATTAATGAAACTCCATTTCTGTAACTCAAAAAGGCAATTTTATAAAGTCATTAAGAATATGGACTCTGAGCCCAATAGACCTAGGTTTAAATCATCTTAGTCACCTTTGAGCTGTGTGATTTGGTCAAGTCACTTAGTTTTCCTCAAACTACTTAACCCTTTGACATTGGTTTCTTCACCTGTAAAAGTGGATTAACATGCAGCAGTTTCAAAGGGTTGGCAAACTGATTAACACGGTGTCTGGTACATGAGAAGCAGTTGATAAATGTTATCAGAAAGTGATACATGGAAGGTTGGCCACCAAAACGGTTATCTCTAGACAGTGGGATTTCAGCAGATAGTGATTTTATTCTTTATACTCCTGTGTTGCTTGATTTTTTTTTTACCTCAAGCATATGTAATTTTCATAAAAGTGATAATAAAGTCTTATTAAAATTTACCTCCTGAATTCAAGACTCCTGGTTTCATCTCTCCAGTACCACATCCCTAACCGTAATCCCAGCTGCTGTAAAATGAAATGATCACAGCAAAAATAAAGGTTCAATTTACAATCCACAAGTCACAGTGAACTTTTAACAATACTTCCCACTAGTTGCTCTTTAACTCTATTCAGTAAAGATGTAGGATATTAAACTTTTCTTAACTTGAACCTAGGATTTTATCCTTTTTTATTGTTTTTAGGTGATGTTTCAATAGAACAAAAGGAAGGGAGGGAGGAAAGTAGGGGAGAAAGGAAGAGAAGGAAGGAATCTTCACTCAGCCTGCACTACCTCAAAGCTCATCATAACAATTTACTGATTATTGGGATTCAGACAATAATCTGGTGCCCAAGGCAGCCTCAACTGTTCAGAGGGGTTAGATACTCCTAACAGGAGCCTGGTAACCCTGCCCCTGCCCCTGCCCTTCAGAGCCGTGGGCGAAGTCAAGTTTACCCCTTCCAAGACGCGGGCGCTACGAGTCCGCAGCCTTTCCTTTCGGGGTACCCCTCCCACAGCAAGGCGGCTTCCTCCGCAGGAGGGCTATTTATTTTGCAATCAATCAATTAGAGGGGGTGAGGGGGTACTTTCGTATATCTAGATATCTACGCGGGGAGCCGGAATTCAGTTCTGACCGTTTGCTGAACACACCTCCATCGTTTGGCTTCTGTAGACAACTATGCCCCGTCTCCCTGTGTGCGGCTCGCCCGGGGCTAGGGCGGCGCCCCTCCTGGGGAGGGGATGGAGGGCGCGGACCACCGAGCCCGGTCCGGCGCCGCAGGGCGGCTTTCCCACCGCGCGCGGGTGGAGGCGGCCCGGGCTGCACTTACATCCGGGTGAGGGCCGCCCGCGCGTCCAACCGCCGCCTCCTCGAACAAAACTCGGGCACAAGGTACGTGGTATTCCGCAGGCTGCCTCATAGCGTCGCGGAGGCAACCGTCCGCGGGCGCGGGAAACGGCGGCCGAGGGCGGGCCCTGCTTCCTCCGCGGGCTGGCGGCCAGCCCGGCGTCGCTCCCGCCCCTTCTGACAGTCTTTGCTGTGGCGGCTCACTGGCGCCTCACAGCAAAGCTGCGCGGGGTTTCTTTCTTTAGGGTTCAGTTCTTCGTTCCTTTCCACCGTGAAGTAAACCACTTCACTTTTTTTTTGTTTTTGATTAGAATAACTAGATTCAGTTCCATAGAGAGGATTCCCTTTCTTCCAAACTTTAACAGCACTAAATTAAGTTCAAATCCAGGTTGGGACTAGGTTGATGGGAGTGGAGGGGGGTAAGGGGAGGAAGAGTGGAAATAACGTTTTCAGAACTTGGTTCTGTTGCATAACTTAGATGTGGAACCTAGGGCTAGACAACACCGACCTCGCTTCTGAAGATACTCAAAGAGGGGTTATGTGAATTTTTAAGGAGTAATGTGTATAAAGCAGCACCCTTAATAAGTACTCAGAATTAGCTTTGCTCAAAGAAATTTGTGTCTATGGGTAGTCAATTGACATTTCTACATTTACACTTTTCAAATCATGTCTTGTAATTTCTTCTTGCAACTGAGTTGATATGCAGATTCTGGTTGGTATTTTTTTTTCCCTTCCAACATTGATGTAAGCAATGCTAGATGACACTACATGATTGGGAATCCCTAATACATTCTTTTGTTTTACCCCAAGGCTTAATTAGCATTAAATGGATGCTCAGTAATTAGTTGATGATTGTGTACTTAGCTTTTAAAATATAGCAATAGATCTGCTTCTGCCTACCCCCACCATCCCAGTCTCACTACTTGATAAAACATAATCTGGTCACCATGGTATAAAACTGTAATCTCCTAGATTTATGTTCCACTCACTTGAGTCTACTGTCTAGCTGTTCCAGTTGGCTCAAATACAAGGAAACCCACCTATATACTGGCAGTGCTGCTTTGAGGCTGTGGCTTCAAGGCTGGCTTATATCAAGATGACTCACTTGAAAAGATGTCACCAAAATATCTGTCACCAAAAGCTTCTCACCTAGCACTGTATATAACATGGGGTGGGAACCTGGGGAAATACTGAGCTGAAGCTCCAGAAGCACCTGAGAGCTATCAAGGACTCTGAATGGGACCCATTCACCAAACGTTAAGGCAGCCTCTTCCCTTTATCTCAGTGAGTGAAGAAATTTTAATAGAAAACCAAACATCTTTTATACCTTACCTTGTTTTACTTTAGGCTGTCTAATATACAGTATACTAAGGTAAAAATAAAAGAATTAAGAACTCAAAACAATGACCTACATAAACATGTGCTAGAGGGACATAATATTTAAAGGAAATCTTTGATACCTCTGAAGGAACCAACTTTTATTTTTGTCTCACTACCAGACACTATCAAAGAGAGACTAAATGATGGTTTTCATAGCTCTAAATCATTATTTTAAACGTGATTTAATCATTTCTTAGATTTTTTTTTCACCAACTAGGTTTTTTTAATGACATTAGAAACTCACAATCTAAAATGGAAATAATTTTCCTTTAAAAAAAATCATCATGCTTTAAATAGGGATAAAGATGCTGTCTAAATATTTAATAATTCCAAATGTCCTGTGAGGGAAAGATTTGTGTGTGTGTGTGTGTGTGTGTGTGTGTGCCTAATTCAGAGAAATGTCTAAGGTCATAGAACTAAGTTGCTGGTGTCGGATTTAAGGCCCCAAATATTAACTGGATATAATGCATATTTATACTATGAAAAAGTCATAATGGATTAATTTTCAAAGTGTTATAATTCTACCTTTAAATACTGACATGTAAGGAAACAGCTATGCCAGTATTTGAATTATCAACTCCATTTTCTGTTGCTTATTTCCCCAATCTTCAATTCACAAACAACCTGATCTATACTGAAAGGGGTGGAGGAAAAGAGCCTATGACTTCTTCATTTGTTCTAAGGGAAAGATATTACAACAGTATCAGCCTACTGCATTTCAGAAATACATACACCCTAAAATATTTCCATTCCAAGAGCTATATCAAGAATGAATACTGTGCTCTTTTTTCTAAAGATCCATAATTTTTCAAGGATTTGAATTCTGTATCTAATTTTAATGCTTAAAGATAGTCTTCCATAACAGTTTTCTCATACCTACTTATATATAAAATATACAGAAGTAATTGAATATTCCTGTTGTTCCTTAACCTAAACATATATATTCCCTTAGCAATTGTGATGTATGGATTTGAGATTCTTTAAAACTTCAATTTAATTCCAGTGTTCAAAAGCAAGGGTAACATGTCTCACAATACAACTTTTATAAACAACATTCAATTGAAAATAGGTGAATACCTTATCGTAGCCCAGTATTTGAGCTTCATAAAGAGATCTTTTGATTTCATCTAGGTAATCAGGTTATACTCATGTCTAAGATTACACATAGGATAAAGAAATTCTTGTTAAGTCCCCCTGTCATATTGAATAGATGATAAAGATCCTATTAGGCATGTTAAGTTTAAAGATGTAAATAGCATTAATATCTCCTAATGTACAAGTCAAGTTTTAATTAATTTCCATTATATATTTCAAATTTAGAGTAAGCTTATTATGAAATCTCACACATCCCAAATACTATAAACAACCTGGTATGTCTTATTTTGACAGGTGTCTAAATTTATGCCTCAAAACAAGGACAACTATGTTAATCAGACATTTAGGTAAGAAGAATTCTGAGAAAAGTACTTTTTCGATCCCTTAGCATCCTATATGTATTGCATTAGCTTTAGTCATGACCACTAGTCCCTAGCATAACACTACTTTTAAGTTCAAATGATGCTAATTAATCTTTAAACTGTAATTTAGCCTCATCCTAACATCAAGTACTTTTTCCATTGTCATTTGACTATACTGATCTAACATCTGCTAAGAAGTACCCAGGAGTTACCAAGTTACCAGTTTCAACTGATCCCTGGAAACAGTGAAAGGCTACTTTGGTGGCTTTATCTTAGCAATATTCAGATCTAGGCAAATTTGAGAAGCTAGAATAAAAACACTCAAGAAGGCCAGGAGTTTTACAAATTACTTTTCAAAATAAAAGAAACTGAAGTCTCTACATAGATTGATGTTAGTGTTATAGCAAGTTACCAGAGGCCAGGCCATGGATCATTTTTCCAATATTTTTCCAATATTAGAAACTAATCTCTTCTAAAGATAGGTCTAAAATGAGTAATACTAATACCTAATTGCACTTATATAAAGACTCCATGATAGTTTGAAGTTAGAGCAAGGGATAAACACTTTCAACAAATAAAGGACTCATAAAAGGTTAACAGAACAAGTATCTTGGTAAAAACTCATGTTAACTGTCACTCTGAGGTTCCTGATTACCTGATTGTTAGTAACATGGTAGTTTGTCAAATATTTATGTGATGCTATCTGCAGTCAATGAGATACCCTTAATGCCTCCTTGCTGAAAACTTTCCATCAACGTGGCATCAGCACTGGAAAACTCAAGTTATCGTCAGCTTTCTAAGTGTAAATAGCAATTATTTTTTAAAAAAAAAGTATTTTGAACCAACTTCACAACTGCCTTCTTATCTTCCTCTCCCACCCAAATGAGACTTGCTAAAAAAAAAAGTTCTGTGTGTACATAAGAGTCAGCTCTTGTGTGAGTCATTGCCAAAGCCCAATATTTTTAGGTTACTTTTTTCCTCCAGTTTTTATATTATTTCAAAAATTAATCTCTCTGCATGATATAGATGGGTACACTATGAAATTAAGTATTAACTTCTATAATTCACTGTTATCTTATTAACAACATGAAGTAAATCTACCTCATTTGGAAGGAGATATTAAAATGTCTGTGTGATGAAAACATTATGTTAACTATGCATTTTCCAACCAGCTTTACTGAATTTCTCCCACATTCTTCTTAAAGAGAATAAATCATAACAAAGCAGATGTGTCATTCCACTAAAATATAAAAATAAACATGAACCCTCTTCTCCTACGGATTTTAAAGCTTAAGCCCAGGACAGTGGATCCCAAAAGGCTGCAATATACCTATATTTAACGATCTCAAATCGGAAATACTGGAAAATGGACAAGTTGTATATTAACAAAAATACAAGACTATCTTGTAGTTTGTCTTTTGAAAACAGAAATCTATTCCAGTGATTTAAGGCAGGTATTGAAAAAGCATTGACTCTCCAATCAGAAAAAAGAATCTATATTTTCCCCACTGCCCTGCAAGTAATTAAAACTGCTGGAAACATACTTATGGAATTTGCCCTAAAATCAGAGCTATTTCACTAGAAAATTAAAGTTAACACAAGTTTTATTAAATTTGGACTCAGTATTAAGTGGCTTTAATATTTGCCTGCTGGCTTTTGTTTCAGGCACCTGTATGTTAACAGAAAGCAACGTGTTTCTTAGTATGTTAGGCTCTTATCAGAAAACAATTCCTGCCCCAGGTTTTGTTAGTTTAGAGATCATTTTATACTTAACCCTGGAACGTAGCTTGTACTTTGCTGGACTTTTCAGGTGGATTTTCACTTGAAAACTGAAGCCAAGCCTTAGGAGTTTGAACACTATCAGACCACAGTCTGGTTTCTGTATTAAAACAGGGGAAAGTTTATCCAGATCTTCTCCCCTTAAGTTGCTGGTAATTCAAAGCAGGAACCTTATCTGAGAATTAGACAAAACTGAGTTAGATAAATTTCACCTTATACTAATAATGTATTTATTTAGAGATCAACATGAGTAAAACAGTAAGAAGGGAAAATTGAAAACTCAAAAGACAGTAATTTTGAGATCAATTTCAACTTTACTTTAAAATTTGTATTTATGCATTTGCTTCAAAAAATATGCCCATCCTTAACGTTACTACAGTGTTCACTTTCCTCAGAAATTAGTACATAAAAATAAACAATTCAAGCTTCTATATACTGTTACCAAGCTTTCACAGAACACGTGTGCAAGCTTCAGGTTTCCCATCTCCAATCTCCACGCACAAACTAAGCTAACCAAAAATGCTCAAGTCAGCAAACACGCAAAATGCACTAAAGAGAAACCTCAAATAATGTTTTTAAAAAGCAAACTTTAGAACCTTTTTAATTAAACTAAGTTGTTGCACCTTTCCTTTCATATGCATACACCGGGCTAAAAAGCCTTCCAACAATAGATCTCTTACTTGGCACAAGGACATTTCAAAGAAGAAACAAAAACAAAAGGAAAAATAAAATAGAAAGGAAAAGAGGTTTACGCTGAGCTGACTCGAGTGCAAGTTTAATCCACTTCCTCGATGGTCGGTCCCCCGGAGGCTCCAGAACCGCCGCCGCCGCCAGGGCCGCCTTGATAAAGTTTGCTGATGATGGGGTTGCACACCCTTTCGAGCTCTTTCTGCTTGTGTTCATACTCATCTTTCTCTGCCATCTGGTTTCGG